TCAACCTCCCATGCATAATCCTTAAATTAATGCAGAACACGTTAAAATCTATAATTCATAGAAATATTGTCATAACTTATGGAGTAAGCATATGATCGTCACCTACATTATTCTCGACTCTAATAATTTATCCAACTAATTATTTTTTTTAATTATTATATTTTTCAGAAAAAAAAAAAAAAAAAATTTGTTTCCTTCCGTGGGAGATAGAGAGAGAGAAAGAAAGGTTCATTTTCAGCATTGTATCAATAAAGCTGTTTTCAAATCTCTTCTTGTCAGCACAGTGAAAGCATTTAAGAAATTAAAAGATTTTTTTTTTTTTTTTTTGTTCACAAAATTATTTATTTATTTATTTATTTTCTCTAATATTCTCTCTTATCTTGGGTCGATATAGTGTCATAGTCTCTGTGTTGAGGTTGAATTATGCACTTGCTATCTAAAACGTACGTCGTAAATAGTAAAGACATGTATGAGTCCGATGCTTGAGAGAACTCAGATGGATGGATATTCAAGATGTCCAGATGAGATGATCAACACATGGGTCATTTCTCAATGAATATATCTAAACAAGTCGAGATGGTTGATGTGTCTCGAGATATGAGACAACATCACAATGCATGGATCGTGTTGTTGGAAATTGAGATGACGAGGCTAAATACAATATTTAGTTGGGATTTAATAATTTATATATATTTTTATATAAATAATATTAAAAATAAAAAATAGAAAAATAGTAATAAAATTACAAAATAGCTTTGCACATTTTCATCATTGTATTGCCTGACCACTCTACAACTTTTGCCTTTTTCTCTCTCCTCTCTCTTACTCATCAAAATGCATGTGTTTTTTTTTACTCTCTATAATAATATATATATATATATATATAATTAATTAATTATATTTTTTTTTCTATTTTTATTTCAAATATTAAATTATAAATTGAGTACCTAAAATATCAAATATATCTAACAAATTCTCGAATTAAAATAAAATAGACGAGTTATTTAGGGAATGATTGTGTTTATAAGTGAGTAATACTAACTCTATTTGTATGAGACCTTTTGGAGAAGCCAAGAGCAAAATCATGAGAGCTTATGTTCAAAGTGAACAATATCATATCATTGTGGAAAGTCACGTTCGTCTAACATGGTATCAGAGTCATGCCTTAAACTTAGTCGTGCCATTGGTATGAGGCATTTTGAGGAAGCTCAAAGCAAAGTCATAAGAGCTTATGTTCAAAATAGACAAATATCATACCATTGTGGAGAGTCGCGTTTGTCTAACATAGTACCAGAGTCATGTCTTAAACTTAGTCGTGCTAAGAGAATGGTAAATCCTCACCCATACCCTAAACTTAGTCGTGCCAATAGATTGGTAAATTCTCAAATATCGAATAAAAGACTCTAAAAGAAAAGGAGTCGAGTCTCAATTGAGGGGAGGTGTTGGAATACTAACTTCATTGGTATGAGTTTGTTTGAGGGGAGGTGAAGCCACTGATGTGGGACTTTCATCATCCAACACTAGCTCTCGAACAAAGTACGCACTCCTTTGGAATCTTAGTCATTTATCAAACAAAGGAAGGACTCCGAAAGAAAAGGAGTCAAGAGTTTATGTTCAAAGTGGACAATATCATACCATCGTGGAGAGTCGTGTTCGTCTAACATATTAACTTATTTACTTTATTTTTAATTTTACGTCATTTTTTGAAACACAATTAAAAATTTATGTCTAATACATCAATTAAATTTTTTTTACCATATTAATAATTATTATCATTAAAAAAATACAATGATAGTTTTTCAATAATTGAATAAAAAAAATAACAGTGTGGAAATTATAGGGTAATTTTGAAAAGGAAATATATATAAAAAAAAATAAAATAATGAAAATAGGATTTGGGCATCATTTTCAATTGTCATAGCAAAAATAGGAACCTCTGTGGGCTTAACAGAACACATCATTATCCAAAATATTCCATTTATTCCAACCTTTCTCTTTCACCTCCACTCCCATTTTTTCATTTTATTTTTTTATTTTTATTTTTTCTAACTATTAATTTTTTTTTAATTTTTTTTTAATATAGGTTGACTCTACCTTTCTTTACTTTCTTATTTATTTAATTCTTAAGTTAGAAATAATAATAATTATTATTTTTGCTAAACTATAATAATTTATTTAATTACGTACGTGTAAATTACTTCCTTGTGACAATTACATGTCTTTTGGTTGAGGAAATGACCTATTATTATTATTATTATTTTTTTGTGATAATTACTTATTTGTATGTGTGAAGATTATACCGTGTCAATTACTGAGAAATTAACCAATTTTGAATAATTTATCGATCGCATGATTTTTTAATATTTGTAGTGAGATTATATGCATACATGTGCCATATCGATTAGAGAGAGAAACAAAACATTCCCTGTAAGGGTATAAAAACATCTTCTTAGTAGACACATTTTAAAATCTTGAGGGGAAGTTTAAGACGGACAATATCTGTTAGTGATGAGTCAAGACACTGAGTGGTGTGCTAGTGAGAACGCTGACCTATAATAGAATGGATTGTGAAAGTATAGAAATAGCTCTCTAATAGATGCATTTTAAAATTGTGAGGCGGACGTCAGATATATAAATAGGAAAGAAATTCTTTAAAGGTAAAAAGTAAAAGTTGAAGGAAGAGGTAAAAAGTGTAAGAATTTGGTTTGTATTTGATTTGGAATAGGTAAGAAAACAAAAGGAATAATATGATTAAATGATTAAAAGTGGATATTAGAAAATAAATTATATTTAAAAAAAAATGCATTCATCAATCCCATCCGTCCGTTCAATCCATCACCATCAAAAGAAGTTGGAGAGATTGATGCAATAAGATTTTGACACATCATGCTCGGATTTTGAGACCACACACACCCTAACAGCCTTTACATCAAATCAACCCTCTCTCTCTTATTTATTACACCTCATTTCCTTTTCTTTTTATTCTTTTAACCATTTTATTTAATCAAATAATTTACCCAAACAGGTAAAAAAATTCTCCCCTGTTTTACCCATCCCCTTTTTTAAAATTTAATTTAGAGTTGTAAAATTATAAATTATGAGAATTATCAGATAGTTAATAAATCCAAAAATTCTAACTGGACCGGGTCGTACCGAACCCGGTTGGGGGTATATGGAGTTGACTTTGGTAGACGAGAAATGCGCGTGTTAAATAAAATATTATATAAATAAAAAAAATTGTATTTTAGGGGGGGATAAAAAAGGCGCGTGGATCGAGAGATTAGCATGGGATTGCGGAAAGCGCGTGACGACAAGGTGAAGTCACCCGCGCCGCCCTCGGGTTTACAGCGGCAGAGAGAGTTGAGAGAGAGTGGTCAGTTTTTATTCAGGCGAAAAAGCATTGGGCCTTTCTCCTGAATTCCGCAGCCCAAGGCCCAATCCACTTCCTTCTTCCATCCTTTTCCTCACCAATTTCTCCTCGATTCCGCTGCTTTATGAGTAATCTCTGTACATCTCGAAATTCAAATATTTTAAATGTCAAATTATTATACAACTTTATCTTTGATGTAGAACAATACTCCAAATCTACTAAAACTTGTTTTTAAGACCTTAAAGTTACGACTATAGCCAAATACATCTCGTAGACGATACAAAACTTAAATAGCGCTAGATGTTAAATAATATTCAAAAAGTATTACATTAAATTATTTATGTGGACATGGAGTTTTGAAATTGTATTTTATTTGTATTATTACATATTTTATAAACTAAAAGTTAAAAAGTAAAAAAAAAAAAAAAAAAAAAAAATTTTTGTTAAATCANAAAAAAAAAAAAAAAAAAAAAAAAAAAAAAATCTTTGTTAAATCATGAACTCTGCTTAGTCACCGTCAGATGACGTGACTGAGCTAGTGGGCCCCAGCAGCGTGTTGTACGAAGAGCTAGGATTCGGTGTGACAGTTGTTAGGTGTACCCGATATATTGTACACCAATTACCAGCGTCCATCAGGATTCAATTATTACATGCCTATTTCCGTGCATTTCGTTTTAGCTTCAGAATTGAACGCCTGGGCTTTTGCCACGTGGCAGATGCACGCACAAACCTAAAATTTAAATGTTATATATTATTGCAGGGATGAAAATTATTTAAAATTAATGGGATAATCAAATAAAAATATTATTTATTTGTATGAATTTATTTATTTATTTATTTATTATTATTATTATTTTTTTATCTTAAACATAATAACTGCTAGATAAAACTTAAGTTTATATCAAAAGTATTTATTATTGTTTTATTTGCGCATTTTAATTCATGTTTTGCAAATATTGTATTTTATAATTTTATTAAAAGTTTATTTAAAAAAATGATATAACTTAGGTGTAACTTTATTTTCTAAATTATTTTTCACTTTCAATCAATTAAATTACCATTAAATATGATTAAATCTGTAATTTAGCCATTAAAAAAATTAAATTTAAAAGTTTTTTTTCCTTCGAGTTACAATGAGAAGGGTAATCAATTGCACCATGATTAAAGCTTTTTTTCCCCTTAAAGTTTGTATATATTTAAATAATATGTAATGAATTCACTTGTGTTATTACCAAAATACCCTTATCCCCCGCCAACTCTCTATTATTTTTACCGTTAGCGTTAGAGTCCAGTTAGTACTCTAATTCTCAAAATGAGAATATTAATCCAAATAAAATGGGAATGGGGAGGGGGATGAGTACACGGGCAGAAAGCTGATTTCTCTCGGCATGCCCGATCCTTCTGCTTATTCTTGTTTTCGCGCGCCGCTCAACAGGCGCTTGTTCATCATCTTCAGTCTGAGAAGGTTGGATTCCGATTCCGATTTCGATTTCTCCCCTGTTTTTCTTTTCCGTTTTGGTGCATAAATTTCTGGGAACTGTTTCTCGTTTCTTTTCTTTTTCCCAAGAGAAAAAGTATCTGTATAAATGTTTTTGGTTGATTACCTTTCAGATTGCAGAAACTTCTGAAAAGCTTGGAATTCTTGTAGTTGCTGACGAGGTTTATGGGCGTCTTGCTTTTGGAAGTAAACCCTTTGTGCCGATGGGAGTCTAACTCTTGGATCTCTATCAAAGAGATGGGTAGTAGCAGGATGGCGATTCGGGTGGCTTGTGACTAGTGATCCATCAGGCACATTCAGAAAACGCAAGGTTCCCACCATACTTGATTGCTAAATTATCCTCTGGTCTTCATATCTTATGTTTTGTCTGTCAAAACAATGAAAACAATTAATATTCTGAAGCAAAACTCCGAAATACATTTTAGGCTATTAAGTTTCAAAAACTTCCTTTCTTGCGTTCTGAAATGATTGTAGGACACAATTTATGCTACTGATATCAGTTAATAGTGACTGCCAAATGTACAAAATTATTGAAATGTGGGAAAGAATACTGTGATTGAGGACTGTGGAGATGAATGGAAATGCATCAAAATGTAGGGTGTCATGATGTCACCTCTCCACCTCTCCACCATTCCTGTGGTGGACATGCATGTGTCACACTATCACTAGTATTTGTGGCCTAAGCGAGCCGAACTATCCTATGGCACATGCGTGTTAGTGGCTTAAGCGAGCTGAGCTACTCTATAGCATATGCGTGTCACACTATCACTAGTATTTGTGGCCTAACCGAGCTGAGCTATCTTGTGACACATGCGTATGTCACACTACCCCTGGTCCCTGTGGCTTAAGCGAGCTGAACTACCCTATGTCACATGCGTGTGTCACACTACCATTGTCCCTGTGGCCTAAGCGAGCTGAGCTACCCCTGTGGCACATGCGGAGTGTCATACCACCACTTGTCCTTGTGGCCTAGGCAAGCTGAGCTATCACACCACCCCTGGTCCTGTGGTCTAAGTGAGCTATTCTGTGGCACATGCGTGTGTCACAACAAGGGCAAGCGTTTCGAGATGAGTGTCTCGAACGACTTCATTTGAAATGAGTTTTTTCAAGGATAATATTGGACGGCACACTTGTGCCAGTATTGCGCCCCCTGCCCGCGTATCAGAAGTTGGATTTTACATCCGCTATCCAGTACAATATCCACAAATGAAATAGCATGAGCACGGGAGGGCGAATGTCTCAATCATTTGAAAGTTATAACGATGGGTTGAGGTAAATTATTTCCAATACATTCTGGACCAATCTCCTTGTGAGATTCAAAATGGGTTACAGATAATGATCGCACTGAAAGACATGGAGATACAAGGATTTTGCCGGGCCTGCTCATATGGTGTGAGCTTCAGTAGGATAAAAGAGCAATCCCAAGACTAGCTTTCCCGGACAATGTATGAAACTTTAGCGTGGGCTCACGAACGCACACCTTTGGCTAATACAGAACTAATGGAATTCTTCGAGTATACGGAAATATGAAATTCAAACTCATGTGTTTTTCTTGGATTTTTTTTTCTTTCGTCCAAATGAGTATTTTACAGAGAGCCGACAAGGAATTACCTGCCTATTCCGACCGGGGAGAACAGGCCATTCGACAGGGAGATTCTGAAATTGGGAAAGGATAATATAGTTTATGTTGACTGCAACTATATTACATAATTTAGAATGCTAAGAAATGAATATAATATGGAGCCCTTGACCTATCTGCCGGCCTCTTGTCTGGTCTGAAAATTATATGTTGGAGTTTAGTCTGCCACTGGTGCTGTGTTCTTGTTCTTTCTCCTTCTGCCACGAAGCATTGGCCAAAGGATACACCTTTTACACTGCCCAAAAGACAAACCGATCAAAATAGAATCGGTCTCTTTCTCTACCCTCCAAATACTTCACGACAAACTTTCGAACAGTGAATCCCAAAAGGATTTTCTTTCTCACCAATATCATTTGAACACGACCCGAAATTGAATTATTACAAGAGAAGTGGTTAGTTCTTATGATTCTTTATCGATCTCTACGCCCTTTATATTGGCAAGTTTTCAGCGGTTTCATTCTCCCTCTTTGGTGCTTCTGCCCTGCAGGTTCTGTAAATTTCTTCAATGGCGGCCTCCAACTCTCATTCTAATGAAACTGGAGGTGGGTTTGTTTTTTTTTCGATGTTTTCGATGTTGGGTGTGAGGATTTTTGTGGTTTTCTTGTCTGCCCTTTGTTGTTAATATGATTGTTTCTGCTTGTGTGCTGATGCATTAGCTATTGGAAATGGATGTGAAACTGACTTGAAGGTTCATGTTTTCTCATCATCATTGGAGGTAAGTTCTCCAAACACCTAATGGATTTTTTTTTTTTTTAAGAGTCCAAGTCCACGACCAGTAGATATTGTTCGTTTTGGTCGATTACGTATCGTTATCAGTTTCACGGTTTTAAAACGCATCTACTAGGGAGAAGTTTCCACGTTCTTGTAAGGGATGCTCTGTTCTCAACCAAAGTGGACAATATCTATTAGCCGTGAGCTTGAGCTGTTAAAAATAATATCAGAGCTAGACATTGGGCGGTGTACCAACGAGGACATTGAGTCTCCTTGGTTGGAGAGGGAAAAACATTTTTTATAAGAGTGTGAAAACCTCTCCCTAACAGACACGTTTTAAAACCGTGGGCTGACGGCAATATATAATTGGCTAAAGCGGCCAAAATGTACATTTTTTCTTCTTTTCGCATGGAAAAAGTTTGAGATAGTTATTAGAGGCTGTGAGACACTGAAACAATTGCAAATAGAAATGATCCATTATGGTTTCTTTGAATTTGGCCTCTAAATGACTGAACTTTCATTGCTGTTGAAAATGTTTTTCTCTTCCTTTCAAAACAGTTGCACGAAAAACTTCATGAGAAATGGAGTTTGAAGAAGAAACCATATCCCGCAATGTATTCCAGCATTTTTGGTGGAATTATTACAGATCCAGCTATGATGATGATTCCGATCGATGATCACATGGTTCATCGAGGCCACGGCGTGTTCGATACAGCCATCATTTTAAATGGGTTGGTACATGAGAAAGTTCATAAAAGATGTTAAACTGTTCTAGACTTCCTTACTAACTTTGGTTCTTCACAGACATTTGTATGAGTTGGATGCCCACATCGACCGCTTTCTAAGATCGGCTGCAAAAGCGAAAATCTCGTCTCCGTTCCCCCGGTCGGTTCTTCGGCACATTCTTATCCAATTGACAGCAGTATCAGAGCTCAAGAAAGGCACCTTAAGGTACTGGTTAAGTGCAGGACCTGGAGATTTCCTGCTCACGCCCTCTGGACATGGCAATTCTGCATTCTATGCAGTAGCCATAGACGACGACTTCTCTCAATGTAAAGAAGGGGTTAAAGCCATAACATCGACCGTGCCGATAAAGACGCCGCAGTTTGCGACGATGAAGAGTGTGAACTACCTACCAAATGTGCTAACCAAAATGGAAGCTGAAGAGAAAGGAGCATTTGCTTCCATTTGGGTTGATGAAGAAGGATATGTTGCAGAAGGTCCAAATGTGAATGTTGCATTTATAACCAAGGAAAAGGAGCTTATCTTGCCTTGCTTCGATAAGGTTCTCTCAGGCTGCACCGCACTCCGACTTCTAGCTCTAGCTCCGAAGTTGGTCGAGGACGGGAAGCTGAAGAGCGTCGGAACTGCGAACCTTACGGTTGAGGAAGCCAAAGACGCTGCTGAAATGATGTTTGTAGGAAGCACACTTCCTGTACTGCCAATCATCTCATGGGATGATGAACCGATTGGAGATGGTAACTAACATCTTTTGTTATGATCTTAACTTTTGTTAAAGTGATAATGAATGAAATGTTCTCATTAATCGCTTGTTACAGGACGCGTCGGGGAATTGACGATGGCGCTTTCGGATCTTCTTTGGGACGATATGGTTTCGGGTTCTGAAATAGAGAGAATACCAGTTCCATACACTTAAGGATGTCAAAGGCTGCTGCTGCTCAAGGAATGGTATCAGCTGAAAATGAACAGCCACCTGATTCTTACTGTCATTGTTGTCTCTCTTTTTTCGCCATCACTGCTTTCTCTGAACACGAATAAAAGGAAAATATCTATTCAATCCGTTCGAATAACGATTTTTTTCGATGTTACTGTGTATATTCATCACGAACTTGGTTGTCTTACCTTTCGAAACTTGACGCTGACATCAATGGAAAGGGCCAATGTGCATTCATTCTTAAGTTGTTTCAATGATTTTGGAAGTGCCTAAAACATTTGTTCTTGTGTTCTTCACAAATATGAACCACAATCAACCATTTGCTGACAACACTTATAAATTTGAGAAAAGTTGTAATACTTAACAAAGTTTGAAGTACAAAACTCAATGGGTTCTAAGAACGAGCGATTGACAGGTCTTGTTCGAGTGTTGAAAGAACGAACGGGACACTTGGGAGTTTCTTCTCATCTAGCTCCTCGATTAAGTTGCAAAAAACTAATAGAATTTGCAGTAGTTCGTAACATCAAAAGTTCAAGACTATATCTAGACTAGCTCGACTCTATTCCTATCAGGGTCTGAATCCTTGGAGTAGAAGTGAGCGTGAGTTTCGAAAAACAAATAGAATCTGTAGTAGTTTAGAAATCTCTTTTTCAACCCTCGAACTTCAAAAGTTCAAGACTATATCTGGATTAGCTCGGCTCTACTCCTATCAGGGTCTGAGTCGAAGCATTGGTTTATATATGGAAAGAGTAAGTAAGTTAAACATGGATATATTAATTGATGGGTTTATTTATAGAAAGTTTATAACTTTGAAGCATTGGTTTATTATTTTTGTCAAATTATTTTGTGTTGGAAAAAATGTCGCAAAAAAATCAAAGACGAAAGTAGAATGAAGATGCTATTATATAAACACCCACCCAGTAACAACCCACGAATGACAGCGCTAGAAAAAGAGAGAGAGGAGAAAATTTCGATCGATTTACGCGGATTAGGATCAGGATTTGGCGTGCTGCTGATCTTCGGTTTCGGCATCAATGGCGACGGAAAAATCACCTACGCCGGCATCGAGATCAGGCCTGAGAAAGCCAGTCTTCGTTAAGGTCGAACAGCTCAATCCTGGCACTAATGGCCACACACTCATCGTCAAGGTCGTTAGCTCCAATACCGTGTTGCAGAAAGGTCGATCGGTGTCACAGCACCTTCGACAGACGCGGATCGCTGAGTGCCTTATTGGAGACGAAACTGGAACCATTTTGTTCACTGCGCTTAATGATCAGGGTATGAATTTTGAAATTTTCCGTTGCTGTTACGGTTTATGTAGGGAAAATTAGGTATTGTTTGGATCGCAGGTGGGGAGGCTAAATCAATGATTATGTAGATTTGGAATGTTTGAACTATGTGCCCTAGAGCGATCGGAATTTGACATTTTCACGCACTAAGCGGGAGATTGAAACAATTAAACAATATAGATTGTGAGATAGGGTTTGGGCGATTACCTGGATCTTACCGATGCGCTAAAAAGGAACTTGAAACTAGAAATATGCATTGATTTTGCTCTACAAAACGTAATTTCAATATCAGTAGCCTGAACTGGATGCGTTAGAATGGCTAGGAAGAATCAAATCCCTGTGGTTACCTGTTATTTATCCATAATCTGCAGCTTGATAAATGAAGATTTGAACTGACCTCACAAATCCCAACCCAATCTGCTTCTAGTTGGTCTGTAAACTATTGCCAGTTGAATCTTTAGCTTTGAAATGAAATCTCTGCAATGAACTCAATTATCATGGTTGTTTGTTTTCTCAGTTGATCAAGTAAAACCTGGGACAACTATCATTCTTCGAAATGCAAAGATCAACATGTTCAAAGGGTCCATGAGGCTCGCAGTCGATAAATGGGGCCGCATCGAGGTCGTCGAGCCCAAAAATTTCGTCGTCAAGGAAGACAATAACCTATCTTTAGTTGAGTATGAACTTGTGAATGTTGCATGAACTTGTGAATGTTGCAGAGGAATGAGAAGAATAAGGCAACTTTATGTATATAATCAATGGACATTAATATAATGTTGCTGATGTGAATATATATATAGAACATCGCTATATTATAGTTTTGTATGGGTGAACGAACTGCCCCTTAAGCTCACACACAGTTTTCAATCTGCTGGGCATGTATATTGTATATTCTCTGGTCGTTCTTATCCAACCTGGTTTGTTTATCTTAAAACTTCCCGGATCTGTTTGATATTTTTGAAATTTAAAGAACCTTATAGCTCAATTGTGTTGATTAGTTGGCTAGTTAACATTTTTGATATTTTATGCTTGTTGGCTAGATAACATTTTTGATATTTTTATCCTTCGGGGACCTCTGATATAGAGAAGATTAGCATGACCCTCGTGCAATGATAACATGCACAAATCGAGAAATGGTATAAGAGTCACGCATCAGAGAAGATTAGCATGGCCCTCGTGCAAGGATAACATGCACAAATCGAGACATGGTATAAGAGTCACGCATCAGAGAAGATTAGCATGGCCCTCGTGCAAGGATAACATGCACAAATCGAGACATGGTATAAGAGTCACGCATCAGAGAAGATTAGCATAACCTTCGTGCAAGAATAATATGCACAAATCGAGAAATGGTATAAGAGTCACGCATCAGAGAAGATTAGCTTAACCCTCGTGCAAGGATAACATGCACAAATCGAGAAATGGTATAAGAGTCACGCATTGTGATAGCGAGAACACTGAGTCCCCTTGGAGAGGGGAACGAAATATTATAAGATGTGGAAACTTCTCTTTCGCAGACACATTTTAAAACCGTGAAGCTAACACCAAAGTGGACAATATCTTTTAATAGTGAACTTGAGTTGTTACATGTATTGATATGATATCTGTTCTTATGTTCTTACATGTATTGATATGATATTTGTTCTTATGTTATAGTGTTCTTACATGTAATGATATGATATCTATTTTTATGTTCTAGTGAGTATATTAATTCAAAATGGATGGTGTTTAACTATAATGAATATATATAAAAAAGAAAAATATATATTATTTTCTAATTTAAAATCTCAAGCACTGTTAAATACTACTCAAAATATCAGAAACAATCCGGCAGTCTTGGATGGCCGCCACCGTCCCCGCCAAAACCTCCGACGGCACCGGAACGCTAGGGTTTTTATTGAACTCTTCCAAGCAGCTATTCACATTCCTAATCGCAATCTCCAAAGTGTTTCTGCCAGTGGTGTAGTCTCCGGCCGCGACAGCCCTTGCGATTCCCGTAAAATCGCCGGCAGCATACCCCGTCGATAACCAGCAATCGTTCATAACGTCTTCAATGCGGAATCCGGCATGCTGCGGATAAGGTTGTCGAGTTTCTGCGCCATTAATCTGGTATTTCTCTCAGCACATCCAATGGCGATGACTGCGAGTCCACGGACGTCGGCGGTCTGGCTTCCGGAGGAGGATTTGAAGCAATCGGAACAAATGACCGGCTGTTCAGTCTTGCCGCAGACGCTTCCGATCAAGGCGGCGTCTGGTTTCACGAGAGAAAAGAGAGCGAAGAGGGAGAGAAATTGAAGCATGGAATTGGAGAGATTCATGTTTGATTTGTTAAATCTTCGGAATATCAGTGTCTGGATTAGACGAACGATGATCTTCCATTGCAGGTATTTAAATCTGCAATCTGTGAAGCATTTGATTCATTGCTGCTTTGATTTTTTTTGAATTTGCATTTTCCATTTTTTCCATTTCGGTCTTCAATGGTCTCCTTGAATTAATTATTTTCTTTCATTAATTTCCTTTTTTTCCATTTCAGAATTTAATCCCAATCTTAGACTAGTAATTATTATAATTAGAAATTTTAAAACTACCAGAACTATAATTAAAAGAAAATTCAAAGTGATATTTCAATCAATTTTTTATAATATGGATATCCGTGTGACCCTGTTTTGATAATGTGGATATCTACAAATTTGATAATATATATATATATATATATATATATATATATGTTCCTGCTGCAGAATTCGACCACCCCAACGTCCGTCGTCTTCCCCTGCTCTGGTCGACCGTCGGAGTGTAAACTGTACATTTAGCCACTCACTTCCGTTCATTTCAAATCAATGTTTGTGAGAGCGCCGCTGCTTAAGGTTTCATCATTCTACTCAATCCCATGTCATTCTCTGGTTCCGTTGTCTCTCTCTTCCGCAATTTGTTCTTCTCCACGGACACCTTTAGCTATCCGATGTCATTCATCTCTCCCCACAGCCCACGAACCATCTTCTTCGGCTCCCTCTGAATCCCTCGATGTGGTGCATAATCGTTGGAGACCCATGTGTTTGTATTACACACAGAGCAAGTGTACAATGGTATTTTTTTTTAATTCTGGATTTGAGCTTTTGCACTTGCGTTTTTCGAATGCCTCTTTGTTTTCTTTGCTTACATTTTCTAAAGTGACTGAAGATTCTACTTGATTGTGTGTGCCATGTGGTTAGTTTGGTGTTGTACACCACATGTTCGACGATATTCCTCAGAGAACTTTTGCTCGTTTTTCTTGCGTGTTAAGCTGCCTGCTAGTTGAATTTTGTAACCCACCAGAACAAAATTGGAAATGATACGAATTTACGACCATTTTCCACTATTGATCAGACTATTGTCTTATGTTGTGTGTTCTGGTGGTTCTGACTGAAGTTCCCTAGCTGATATTTCGCAGCCAAATTTAGATATTCATGTGACCCTGTTTTGTAGATGGATGATCCACTCCACATAAAGAAGTTCAATCATGATATCTCCAGGGAGCTTCAGGTGGATGTTGCTAGCTCAAAACATATGCGAACTCAGGATATTGAGTTTTTTCTAGTGCTTGATTTGGAGGGTAAAGTTGAAATAATTGAGTTTCCAGTCATATTAGTCAATGCCAAGACACTGGATGTGACGGGTTTTTTCCACAGGTTCTACCTGCTTCTTTGTGACGTGCTCATTCTTGCTCTTTGTTATGCATTTATTTATCTTTCCGCTGGGCAGATTTCATATTTTATGCATCTCTATGTTTTCCTGTTACCTGTTTTTTCTTCTTAATAAATCTGCAAAGATTTTAATCTCAAAGAGCATGCAGAAGGAATTACCTGAATACCCATCCACACACATTTGTCTTCTTTGGGCTTTCCCTTCAAAGTTTTTAAAATGCGTCGGTTAAGGAGAGGTTTCCACACCCTTGTAAAAAATGGTTCATTCTCCTCCCCAACCGATGTGGGGTCTCACAATTCAACTCCTTTGGGGCCCAGCGTCCTCGCTGACACTCGTTCCCCTCTCCAATCGGTGTGGGAACTCACACCTTACTACCCCTTTACCTTACTTACATTTCCTGATGGGCATATTGATTGCATGTAATATAAGCGTGGGGTAAAATGTTCGCTTAATTTGGAACCATTTTAGCATATGTAATGTGTAGTTAGGAAAATCGGCTTCTGTGCGGTTGAGAGATGACACTGACCGGCTTATTATGCTTGTAACCCCATCATGTAAAATGGTTTAACTTCTAAGAATGCCAACAAATGTTCTTTGGATGATTAAGAACAAGAAATTTATGGTTTTTCTTTTTTGGTTCTACGTTCTTTGACGACTGCCTTAAATCCTTCCTCAGGTTTGTTAGGCCTTCAAGAATGAGTGAACGAAGGATAAATGAGTACATTGAAGGAAAATATGGCAAGTTTGGAGTTGACCGGTATGTCTAATCTATGTATGGTGAAGGCTTGATAATGTTCGACATTATTGTGGATTCATTTATTTCTTAGGCCTTAGTACAAATATATTTCAAAACCCGATTGTATGGTGTACATGTCCAGTGCTAATTAGGTAGAATTAGATAGAATGTGAGATCCCACCCCGGTTGGAGAGGGGAATGAAGCATTCCTTATAAGGGTGTGGAAACCTCTCTCTAGTAGACGCGTTTAAAAACCGTGAGGCGGACGGTGATATGTAATGGGCCAAAGTGGACAATATCTGCTCGCGGTGGGCTTGGGTTGTTACAAATGGTATCAGAGCTAGACACCGAGCGGTGCGCCATCAAGGACGCTAGGTCCCCAAGGGGGGTGGATTGTGAGATCCCACATCAGTTGGAGTGGAGAACGAAGCATTCCTTATAAGGGTGTGAAAATCTCTCCTTAGTAGATGCGTTTTAGAACCGTGAAGCTGACGGCGATATGTAACGGCCCAAAGCGGACAATATCTGCTAGCAGTGGGCTTGGGCTATTACATAGGACGACTTTTTCTTCGGTATGTTGACAAGTACCGTTAAGATTCTAATGGACTTCTTTTACTAGCTGATAGTTCCATATTATATTTGCAGTGTCTGGCATGACACAGCCATACTGTACAAGGATGTTATACAACAGTTCGAAGATTGGCTGGTTGAGCATCAGATATGGAGGAAGGATCTGGGTGGTGTTCTTGATCGAGCAGCATTCGTGACATGGTAAGCCTCCTTTTCTCGATCTACTTTTAAGCGTTACAATTCCTTGCTAAATTGTTCATTTATTCATATTGTGAATGTGCTATGTGTAACAGAAGTGTTAATGATTTATGCCATCTTTTACTTGTACCAGTGGAAACTGGGATATAAAAACTCAGGTCCCACATCAATGCAGCGTGTCAAACATGAAACTTCCTGACTATTTTATGGAGTGGATCAATATCAAAGATGTCTATCTCAACTTTTACCAAAAGAAGGTACGATAGTCCTTCCATCAAAATAAGAGTTTATAGCATCTTGAGTGGGGTGTAACATCGATTAATTAAGGAGTTGATCATGGGTTTATAAGTAAGGAATATATCTTCATTGGTTTGAGGCCTTTTGGGAGCCAAAATCAAAGCCACGAGAGCTTATGCTCAGAGTGGACAATATCATACCATTTTGGAGCCCTCGAACAAAGTACACCATTTGTTTGGACACTTGAGTCACTTTTGACTACACCTTTGAGACTAGCAACTTCTTTGTTCGACACTTGAGGATTCTATTGATATGGCTAAGTTAAGGGCATGACTCTAATACCATGTTAGGAATCATGACTCTCCACAATAGTATGATATTGTCCACTTCGAGCATAAGCTCTCATGGTTTTGGTTTGGGCTTCTCAAAAGATCTCATACGAATGGAGATAGTACTCCTCACTTATAAACCCATGATCTTCCACTAAATTAGCGATTAGTTTCTGTGAGAATGGAGCTTACACGACCCATTATTGATGAAGTTCTTTACTTTGGATGGTAATTGATAGGCAACAGGAATGGCGATGATGATGAGACAACTCGAAATACCCTTGGTGGGAAGCCATCATCTTGGTATAGATGACACAAAGAACATCGTGAGAGTGTTGCAGAGAATGGTTGCTGATGGTGCACATTTGCAAATCACTGCTCGTAGGAATCCCAATTCTCCTCAACATGTTAAGTTTCATTTTGAGAACCGTATTTAATGGCGGCCATCTTCAGCAACTTATCATCAATATTTGTCTGGATGATTCTTAAATTAGCTACAAGAGATCTCATGAGTTGTAAAACTATGAGCGAGAACGTGTCCTGGTAGGTGTATTTTTCAGCGCCTTTTTTCCTCCTGGAGGAGGAGATTGAATATTTAGAATGATAATTGATATTTTATTTATTGAGTTAGGCTCAAATATTAGAAATAAGTTTACCTTCAAACTTCTTGTATGGATAGCAAGATGGTTCGAATTATTATATTTTAGCGAGTGTTCATGCATTAATTATGTAACAGCTTTCGTTAGCCTCACGATTTTAAAACACGTCTACTTGAAAGAGGTTTCCACATCCTTGTAAGAGATGTTTCGTTCCTTTCTCTGACTAAAGTGGAATCTCAAAAGGCTAACGGTTTTAAAACACGTCTACTTGAGAGAGGTTTCCACATCCTTGTAAGAGATGTTTCGTTCCTTTCTCTGACTAAAGTGGAATCTCAAAATCCACTTGTAACCTATCGTTAACAGATATTGTTCATTTTGGTCAATTACATAAACACGTTTTTTTAACTTATGTGAAATCTAGATGCCCTAATAACAATATATATATATATATAAATATATATTAGTTTGCTAAATATGTAGATAATAACAACATACTATGTAATAATAAGATCTTATAGAAGTCAAATTTTCAAAATTTTAATTTTCATTTTATAAAAAAATATTTGTGAAGTTTAAATTTTTAAAAACCTTTTCAAAATAAATAAATAATTTTAAAACAAACGCACAAAGAATTACAAATTGGAACCCTCCTTCCTCTCTTTTCCCGTTTAGGGCCGCCGGGCGAGAAGACGGCCGAAGTCGACAGGTATTAGTAGTATGTGAATTGCGGGAGGTGGCCTTCAAAGTGGAGCTTCAAGATTATGGAGTCTCAGCTCAAGAAGAGCGCTAAATCCAAATTGCTGAACCCTAATTGGGCGCTACTCCAACAAGTCATTCTTCTTCCCTCCATCCCTCGTTTTTCCGTCTCTCTTTCCATCACTGATTTTTATCTTCTGATCCTGCAGAAACTGAACCCTCATGGTTCAAAGCGATCCTCCACTGTACCGAAATCCGAAGCCTCATCAAAGACCCTTTTAGGTAAGAGTTCTTCTACCCTGGGTTCATATTGCTTTCTTAGTTTCCCATTGATATTTATCTTGTTCGATGAACTCTGTGTATTATGAAATTTATCTGGTTTCGTTAACTGAGCCATGCTCTTGTTTGATGAATTCTGTGTTACTTAATATCTTTATTTCTGTGTGATTGGGGAAGTATGAGCTTCACTGATTCAAACACAGAAAGTGAAAACTGGGTTTTGCTTCAATCATCACTTTAGATGGTGTATGTTTGCGTTAAGCTTTTGATTTTTCTAATTATTTTATCGTGAAGTTCTTAGTTCACGAAATGTTTAGGCTTGTTTTTTGTTTCATTCTAATGAATTCACCTAGTTCTTGTTGTCACAATCAGTGTATTAAATTTCGATGGGTGACATTTTCATTGATATTTCCACATGTCCATGGATATTAACATAATGGGTGGATGAACATTTCCATTATATTGTGAAAAAATAGATGAAACATCAGATAAAAGTAACAAAATGTCACTAATGAGATCTCGACATTTTAAACTTTGGTCATAATGTCATGATTTTGTTAACTTGTGCGACCTGGGTTTACAGGAAAACGCAAGGATAGATCTGATGAGGAGTCGGATCACTCCAACAAGAAACTTCTCATTCCAGTGAACGATGACTTTAGGTAATCTCTTAGAATTATTTTAGATTACTTGAAGGACATAGAAGTTGTTGTCTACTTACTGTAGATGCAAAGTGAAAAAAAAAAAAAAAGAAGAAGAAGAAGAACTACTTGTATAATCACCAACTTCTGGCTAGGCATTGGTAAAAGAAAAAAAAGAAATTTAATTATAATTCAGTCCTCGACTATCATAAGTTGCAAGCAAGTTCATGTGACTAAATTATGAATTACCTTGGAATTAAACAAATCAAGTTCTGTGTGGCTTCTATCCCCGTAGTATTGGCAAAAGAATAATAAATCAAAGCTCGAATTTACTTGATTCCCTGCTTTTGTTTTCTTTGCCAAGAAAGAATTGAATTTAATACTCCAAATAACAACTCCTCCTCCCCCCCC